GTAGACTGAGAGAAGAGCGATATACATCTCTCCACCAAAGCTGCAACGCCATTGTCAATCGCAGCCGCTTAACTCCCGGTTAACGTTCCGTGCATTAATAGTCTCACAATCCCGAGATAAACACATCAGACTAAATAAAAGGTAAGTACTTTAATGTTTCTTGTGTGGCCCGGTACCATTTGATCCACGGACAGGTACCGGTCCCCGGCCCAGGGGTTGGGAACCACTGCCTTAGGGAACCAGGTAGTATCCGCGTTGAAGATGCGAGCTAGTACTGTTGGATCACAATAGTCGGCAGTAATTCATTAGTGGGCAAAGGGGATGCGCACTACAGACGTGTCACAAGGAGGAAAGGGTGGTCTTTGCTTTGTCGGCGGCTGTCTAGCTGTGGCCATTTACAGATGTGTCACCTGTCCCGATTCTTTCATTCACTCGGTGGACTGCAAGTATGAAGTTACATTTTCCCCTATAGGAAATAATCGAAAGTGCTGCCGTTTCGTCAAACACGCCATCGCTTCTCCCACATCCCCGTAAACCAGGCGGAACTACGATGCCCTAACACGCACATGCACCAATGTCCTTGCGTCCAAAGCAAACTAGTTAAGCGAAAGAAGACAGGAAATAAGTTCTCAGCAGTGTGCCGATATATTATACAGAAGCTTCATTGGCACGCAACCGTCGCTAGTCGCATGTAGGCTGAGTATACCGCGATGATGCCTGCCCCTACGCGGATTCGAATCGGTGGCCTAAAGATTGCAAGTCAGGCGTGCAACCATTTCGGCCACTCGCCGTTCGCTAAGAGCCAACCAGTGGGACAATCTGAACCAGTGGAATCGTGTTTGTGAACGTATCGTAGCTTAATACGCATCACCACGCATCCAAACTCGATGCGCTACGGTAAGTCCCGGCTAATACAAATAACATTGGGATCCAAATATGATGTCGAGGGGGTAGTTTTGTCTGCATGTCGCCTGAGGAGAGAAGGCGGTAGATTACGCACACTTTAGCATGTTTCACGGAGCGAACATCAGCAGGACAATAACACTTCAAACGACCACGACGCAGGCAATAGCAGAAGCTTCACTTTTGTTCACGGCGTGTCTGTGTTGCCGCCAGGCAGTGACAAAGAGGACCAAGCGCCTGATGTTGAAGAATGACAATGCATCCATGAAGCTGTCTGTGCTGGTGACGTTGTGATTCCGTCTATTTCAAGGTTACCCGTGGAGCCTCACTATAAAAGCGGTGGCCAGTGAAGACTAAAACTTGTGGTTCGGTCCCAACAACAGATGAAGGGGAAGCTAATGCGTAGCTGGCACAAAGTGCTCAACACTGCCTTCAGAATTACACTTAGACACAGCCAACAGAGTACCGCAGCCATCCAACGTCACCAAAGAAATAGCGCCACCAGGGACCCAATTTAACCTGAGCAGCTAGTAAACAAACAAACTTCTCAGAGCAGTAGCCATTGAGAACGGACTGCAACCATATCGAGATTTGACGTTGCTCTGTTCACCTGCGTACCACCCAAAAACGATTTGGGTGCCCGCCTTTCGTCGGTCGGCATGCATTTACTCCACTCAAACAGTACATGTCAAGTTCCTCTGACATCAAAGAAGCCCTCCTGTGTTTACACCAATGCTCAGAGCTTACTTAGCAAAGCTTCCGAACTGCCATTCCCTCAGAGATCAAAGGCCCTTGACTTCATCGTTATAACAGAGAGATGGTTGCCCCCCGACATAAGTAACATCCATGTGGAGCTACCAGGTATGTCCGTTGTTCGGCACGACTTATCCAGCAAACTAGGTGGAGTGACTATGTACTTCTTCAGCGATCTACAATGTGAGTCCCTGGAGGATTTGATCAGCAAGCCGCAGCATCTCTTTTGGTGCTTCCAATGCTTGAGAAACCAAGATACTTGCTTGGAAGCTGTTATTTACCACCGTCCATCTTTTAAACCCGAGATGGACTTCAATCTGGCATCAGTACTGTGGCGGGTAATAACTAAACGGTACAGCCATATTCTTATCACTAGTGGTCCCAACGTCTACGCTGTGGAATCCCAAGCCACTTTTAGTGAACAGTTCAAAGCAGAGTCGCATGCGCTTATCACCAGTTTTCCGCTTTATGGTCACATAAACCCTCCAACCAGAGTCAGAGAACCAGACAGACCATCCCCAGCAAGTCGAATATTCACCAACAATGAACACATGATTAAGAGGGTGCGCATCAATATTCTTCTAAGCTGCAGTGAGCATGTAATCTTGCTCTTCATGTACACCTATACAGAACATTCCATGTAGAGCATCCAAGCGACTCTGACCATAATAAGTTACCATGCATTAGAATGGCTAATCGAAACGGTAAGCTGAAATTTCGCTGCCGAGGAAAAACCGGCTATCATCTGAGAAAGTTTCTTCAGCAAGAATGAAAACTTTGTTTCTGATACATCGGAAACTAAGGCTATCCGCTCAAGCAACATAGTCTCGTTTGTACTAAGACACGAAAATGCAAAGCGAGTCGAGCATCAGCATGGCTAGCTCAAAAAACCGATCCGAGCTCAAACGCTCATTGTCCATCGCAACCAGTTAAAGATTCACGCCTCTGGGTGTATGGAATTCTTTTTGGAACTGCACTTGAATTGTACCCTTCTATTCAATTAATGCGCAAAGCCAAACTTGTATATGGATAGGCTTTAACAGTACGGGCTTTTCGAATCATAAACTGCTGTACACGCAATATGAAAATACTTTCCTCCTTTTATGACAGCGGATGGACCAAGAAGGATGGCCAAAGAGGCAGCAAATGCCCTGCAACAGAAGTACGTGCTAACTTTTCAACGTGTTCCGTGGTATCCTGACCAATCCGAATATACTGTGCCACCACGAAGGCTTACTCATATCCAGTTTCGGGCAAACACTGTGACGAGAAAACTGTTATCTATGCGCTCACACAGCTCTCCCGGAAATGATGATCTTCGCTCGAAGGCGCTAGCCGTAGCAGTTAAGAACTGAGCTGAACCTTTATCGCGATCCTTGCAGTACTGCCTTGACGAGGTGCACATTCTTACAGCATGGAAACATGGGATAATAACTCCAAGGTATAAAGTAGGCAGCCGTTGCGACCCTGCTAACTACCGTCCAGTGACCATGCTTCCAGATTTTCGAGTTATGGGGCTATCATTACTGACGCGCTCATGGAGGAACTTGGCTACATCACGCAAAGGCAACATGGCTTCCGCCGGCACAGCTGGTTCATTACTAACCTACTGTCAGCACCCGGCATTTGAACAGAAACACTGGGTTTTTGTGTCAGAGTTGATGTTTTCTATCTCGACCTCTCTAAGCCATTCGACAGATTGAACTATTGTATCTTCTAGTCAAACTTCAAGGATACGGTGTTGGCGATCCGCTCCTAGGGTGGATCAGCAACTTACATTTGTACAGGCATCGGGAAATGAAAGTACGTGAATCACTATCAACTCATGTACAAGTGGATTGCGATGTGGCTTAAGGTTTGGTATTGGGGCCCCATCTGCTCCTCATTTTAATTCACGATCTAGTGAGTTTAATCATTTTAAACGGATTGCTTTACGCCGACGAGATGAAAGTTTGGCAGCCGACCTAAGCGCCCACAAACTGCATGCAACTGCAAAACGACGTCGACAAGTTTCATGTGTGGTCAGTTCACAATTGTTTTCTGTGCAACGTGACTAAATGTCAAGTACTCTATTCGATTCTCTGAGCTAGTATTATGTGTAATTTGTGCTACTTTTGCAGTGTACTTTCCGCAACGGTCTCTGAACTGTGACCAATGAAATTACCTTTATTTTCTCTTTCCGGATAGGTGCTGTGGGCTTGCATACTTCCCTCCATGGATCCACCTCGTAATGTATTTTTTCTAGGATTTGCTCACTTTTAAAACTGAATATTTAGTTGTCAAGCGTTCACAACTGTAAACTAGGCAACCATGATCTCCAGCACTGTTCTCTTGAAAAAGGTCTCGATCTGCTAATTCAGGAAAACCACGGTTTCTCGGAGCGATCTGCACAAGCATCAAAATGCAGCGTCCAAAACGTAGGACCGTTACAGAGAGGTTTTAGCCACTTTGACCAACTTGTTTTTCCACAGCTGATTTCTGCAGATCTACGTATGCACGTAGAAGAGGCAATCCAAGCATAGCAGTCATGATTGAAGTGGGACCTTATGGTCTTCGAAATTCCCCAACGTCGGGCAACCAAAAAGGCCAAAGGACTATACCGCTTAACAGCGCCTAATTATTGTAGTACCTTCAGTGGAGGCTATCGAGATTTTCGCGGTAAGCTTATCATGGTCCACTAAATTTTAAGCAATCACCCGTGCTACCACCTGCTAAAAGGCAACTGTATCAGCAGACTGAGAGGTCACCATCTCAAACTACCGAAACAATATAGCCTGCTGGTCTGTAAGTGAAACCTCTCGCTACACGTTTGTCGCATATGGAATTCACTACCAGAAGCTGTTATTTCTGCTCCCTTATTGACTGTGTGCAATGACCATTACACTAGATAATATAACACGTAAACTATACGAACGTTCAAAAAACAAACCGTATCAACCCGTAACCGGTTTTCTAGGAAATACAAGAGAGGTGACATTTAGTGTTGCGTAAACTCTTTGTGGACTATTTAGACGGACAAAATTTTGCTCGGCATGTCCAATATTTTCTGTTGTTCTCTGTTTACAGTTGTACTAATTTTTTGAAAAATCAGCTCACCATTTTTCAGGGGGATGTTAATCATAAGCTCTATTTTATCCGCAATAAACCGCGTTTACCGTTGACCACTGGTGTGAAGAATCAACTAATTTGTAAGTTGCTGCCAAGGAATCCTAAACTCATGAGCATTTTGCATAAGACACATAGTTTTCAAACATCTGAATGTATGTTGGCAATAAAACTCTGTAAACTTTCGGATAGTCCAGTAATTGATAAAGTTGAAAGTGAATTTAAAACGTATCACTTACCCGAAGGCTTGTTCCTCATCAACCTGCGGAGCAAATATCGTGTAGACCTCATCGGAGTTCCAATCTTCCATCTCAGCCAAAGCGGCCAGTTGGGGACCAAATGCCGCGTGTTTTTCTATACAGAAGTCCAATAATAGGTAATGTAAGCGGTCCTTTCAATATAGGTGACTGAAGTTAACGCTTCGTACCCCGCGTCATGTGGCCAAAGAAAGCTGAGACCATCCCCCCAGACATTGCTGATGGTAACTGAAGACCATTAAGGTTGTGACAAAAAATGTCTTAATCAATTCTAATTCCGATAGTAAAACTGAAATCCCGTGGACATACTTTGATGGCGCTATATTGATTCAACTGTAGTAATTAGTTTTTATACCTTTCGCATTGCCAGCTTCGGTTTGGTATATAAAACAGTTGACGATATCAAAACTGGAGGCACTCCAGTTCTACCAATCACGTCGGTGATCTCAGACCGGTGTATTGAGTTCATTATTTACTAGGTGGTATCGTAAGGAGTCTTCTTGATCCACATAGATGCTCACCTATTGATGGTCGTTAGTGGATTATATGAGTAGGACGATAAGATCCGTGCGTCATCGGTATCTGCAGTATTGTTTGAGGGTAAGGTGAGATAAATCGGATCGATTTGTGTCAAGTGTTATGGGGGATAGAGCACTAGATACCTGGTTCTAGACAGCCCTTACCCTAATCGCTAGATATGTTGGTCATCAATGTAGTAAAGCTAAATACGAAGACACTGATGTGTCAGGTTCGTTCGGGATGCATGTGAGTACAAGTGTACCGGTCAGCCAAGATATGCAACTAGTCAAGTAATGGCACTTTATAATGTCCCCTATTATTTTTTATGCTAAACCTATCCAACAGCCAATGTATGCAATGTAACTTGGAGGCACAGGTTTCTGAACCTAGCGGCATGTTTCTAGCTTCGGCGGCGGAGTTGTTATGTTGACCGTGTTGTTTGCATTTGCGATCGCCATTAAAGCCCTTTATACACAGCAGGACGCGGAAGTGTATGATCATTAGAAATTTCTTCTGGCGATAATACAAGGGCTCACCGGACGTCAAGAACTGGGAACATACACGACCCAGCGGAATCACTGCGTGAACTTAGAACGTTATGATAAACTAGAGCCTCAATGGGATCTGTTTGTGAAATTCTGTTCAAACCCCAAACTCCTTTACAGATACATTAACAAACTCCGTAACTTGCAACATGAAATTCTTACCCCATACATGTCACGCAGACAGGCACAGATGGCAAGAGAAGCGGCCAACGCTGTAGGTTAGCAATTCTCCACAAACTTTTAGAACAAAACGTAGTCCTCTTTGCTGGTCAGGTTCCTTATACCACCAATAGGGCCTAGCCATATATTTTACGGCCGCCGACGCTCTGAAGAGCCTGGTTTCCTTGTGGGATCATACCGATGCTAGTGCTGACAATATCTGCGCGCAACCATCGAAGTCAGTTTTTATGAATTTAACAAAACCGTTTTTTCAGTGACATCTTGGCTAGATGTGGGTTCCAACAGTCTAAAAGCACTGAATCTGCCCTCTCTTTCACAGGGGAAGCCCTGCAGATCCAACCAACTACTGCGTAGCAACCTTCTTTCCGGTGCTTTCCAACCTCATGGAAGCAATTATAGTCGACATGCGCATGAATTACTTGAGAGGATGCAGTGTCACAACACCGGAGCAACATGGATTTCACCAGAACCAGTCTTACACAAAAGCTGTAACTTGCTCCCGCCAGTTGGACCTAAACCGTCGACAGCAGGGTGGGTGTTGATGCACTTTATCTGGACTTATCCAGGGCGTTCGACCATCTGAAACACCGCATCCTCCTTCGCAAACTTCAGGGTTGTGGAACCGGCGATCCGGCACTCGGCTGGATAGGTAACTCCAACCTTCAAAGACATAGGAACGCAAGAGATAGCGGCGTTATCACTAACCCTATGGACCTTCAGGGTGAAGTACCAAATGGCCAATCTTTTTCCGTTATTTGCGTGCACAATCTCTTGAGAGGGATCGCCTCCAAGTTCGTACTATTCGCTGACGATCTCGAGTTATGCCGGGTCAGCCGGGTAAGCGCGTGTCACTGCAGAAGGATATTGACATGGTTACACGAGTGAACAACTCAAAACTTGCTCCAGTACTACGCCACCAAGTGTAAGACTTTGAGCCTAGGTCATCAATCCATTTTCTAGTAAAGGCTGGAGATCAAAATTAGTAGCCCGCTTCTAGTGAATGCGACCTAGGAATGATAGTACAAAGACTATCCTAGTTGTTTACCTTAGGCTGAGAAAGCGTCCAAAAACCGAGCTAACACATTGGCCTATTGTGGATGACATTCCGGCGCCTTGACTTTTCCGTTGTCTCCCATATGCTTAGCGCATATATTAGGCCCCATTCGGAATACGCAATTCACGCTTTAGAACACGCCAGACAAGCACGACTTTGTCGCGTTTAAAATGACGCAGCGATGGTTGACCAAGAACATAAAGACCTTGTTCCATCTTTTTATCAACAGGCTGCGAATCTTTTGAGTCCACTATGAACAATACCGACACTTGTGTGGCAGTTTGATAACGACAAATTTGATACTGAAGGATGCAAAACATGTTTATCTTCATGTGAAAATGGGCTACAATACCACTATGAAGAGTTACCAGTCAAAGCTGGCCACACAGTATAGCCGCTTGAACTCCCGCCGGAATCTGTTTCACTTTGTGCGCGTCATCCCTGGAACGTTCTCGTCACTCACGTTGTTGCTTCTCCCCCACTAACAGTATTCAAAAGACGTCTCGATGGTACACTCATAGATTAATATTACATCATATAACCCTTTCTGACTAGACATCAAGGTAACACTACCAATCGTTGTGCTCAGTTTAAATTTCTGCTTAGTCCACTACTATTCGCTTCTTCATGTGTAGCTGCTTTGATTCCAAAATTGTACACTCTTCCATTACATGGGACAAGCCAATCATTTTATTAGACACGTGAAAAACTATAGTTTTATTGTTCCAAATTTGCGACAAGACACTTTTGGTTCTACAGGGCCCATGTTTACAGGTTCAGATAGGGAGACGATAGCTGTAAGGGTACCAACTCCTGCGTTGCAGTGCACAAGAAAAACCACCAAGTTACCACCTACGATGGTAAACAGGATCAAGCCGTTCGATGGGTACAAGCGTTTCTGCTCATGGGCGATACGGGTGGATACGTGCATTCCCTCTGTGAGACATTCTCTCTTGTATCGTTTGTATGTGTGAGGTTTCCCAATTCCTAAATGTATCCAACTTCCTCAATTCACAGCTTCCCATGGCAGGATTTCTATGGGAATGCAACGCTGCCATGTCAATACCGTGTTACTACTACATATACCTCAATCGAAATGGTTCATGAGGAGACGCAAAGGCTCACATCATTAATAGAGTAGGAGATCAAACACGGGATACAGTGCTGATCACAAGATGTCCGGCGACCTAGTTCATACTAAGGAAACTCCGCTCTCCTGCGTGCTGACTACTGACAACGCAGTCATACACCGACACGTGGATGACTGTTGCATGTTCGTAACTAACTACGCGAGTTGTGGATGTAAAGCGCACTAACAGGTTAAATGGGAGTACTTGTGAGGCATTCGTTGCGTGAATAGTTTGCGACAAGTAATTTCACTCAGAACTGCAATTCAATTTGAAATGAACTTTGGTCAATTCGGTGACAAGACCAGTACCCCAAAACAACACTCGTTTAGTCATTAACTGTTGTGATAAGAGCTGCTTACGAATAGAGGCTTCAACTGCGATTCCAAGGGTCCCAGTCTCGAGTCACGGTCTTGCTGTCCCTGCCTACTGATTACAATTCGGTATGAAACTGGTCGTTCAGTGCAGTATTGCTAGCGGGTTGCACCAAACAACCAACTGACAGTTTGGACCGTCACTCGAAAACCTTCGACCGTCAATACCTCAAGATAAAATATGCTTCTTGGAGTCAAAGTAAAAAGAGGTTATGTTTGCACAAGTGAATACAGACTACGGGCACACTGCTAATTTTACAGAAACCTCTACAGATTGCCCCTGTGGATTGAGTCATAAGTGGTTATAGAATAGATTCCGGGGTCGGTCTACAATGATTTAGTCCGTTATCTCCGTCACAGCTTGCTGTACGTAAAGCGCAAAAATTGTTACCGGATTTCAGGACTGCTTCAGTGCAAGGTGCAAATGGCGACAACATTTTGTTGCAGGTTGAAGCCATGAATCCCGAATACACTTCGAAGGCACTCTTGTCTTCTTCGAATCCTGCGCAGCACTTGTAGGTATACTTGCTGTACACGGGGGCGGAGAAAGGAGATGAAAAAGAAGTACCACTTTTGAAAATGACGTTAAGTTTATACATATTGTAGTTCCCCAACATTGCTCACCAGCACTAGTGAGTTCAGAATGCCACTGGTGATATGTGTTAGCAACGAAACGCTCTACCTAATAGAACTGTCATGCTAGTGGAGCAGTTTTGAGAGTTAAACTACTGTAAGTTTGTCACCAGTACAAGCGAACAGAATAATAGGTGCAAGTTACCGGAATGTGGATCAGAACCACTTGATTTGGCAAAATATGTATCTGGGCTACATGGAATGCATGTGCCGGTATAAAATAACGAGCGGACAACAACAATCACATTCCTTTGAAAGAAAAAAATAGCAGGTTATATATGTAAAAGGCAGGCTATTACCTGCACACCTTTAGAAACACAACTTGAGAGGCTTCGGGGAACAGGTGGTTCGTCAATTCCTCTACGCTACTTGTTATGTACATATCTTTAGATTGCTAGACCCTCATCACAGCTACATAATGTCAGTCTGGTGTTACTGCAAACGTTCACAAATGCGCTGGTGATACGTATGGACTGGATGCAAATGGTCTGGTCCAGTGTCCGACGGGCAAGCAGCAACTCGCTTAAGTGCATAATGGCCGTTTAGCAGCCATGTCCGAATTATACCCACTAGACTTTTGAACTGTCCTAATAAAAGGGGAAGCATAGCATGGGATTCCTCTTTGTGCGCAGGCAGATTGGCAACCAAGTGGTTACCGCGCATTTTATCCCTTCTGAGCTATATGTCATGGCTAATTCAAGGTTCTGTTCCATTCTCAAAGGCTTGATCGTATTCGCTTAAGTCTAGAGTCGTAAAGGCGATTGTATGCGGCACCCTCTTAATAACATTGGCGTCGGGACGTACTACAGTCTGGTTAAAAGGCGAGCAGATAGCATTGTAATGGACTGCTGCCATAAGGGAGGGAATGCTGTCGCGACCCGTCATCTCATCAGCGGATGCAGGGTTCCCCCTAAAGCAGTGGAGCAACGACTAATTTTGCCGCTCTGGGCGGTGGTAAAATTTTCTCCCTGAGTGAATGCAGTATAGGCACAGAAAGGCCATAAAGTCGGCTCATGGCAAAGTTCACATGCATCTTCAATGAAATGGTCCATGGTTTTTATACTTAGGCAAATGTGATGAAAGCGACTATAATGGAAAAATTAAGGGGATTGCTGGGAAGAAGGTCCGCACAAGTCTGATACATGATGCAAAGGTGTTGTTGCTCATACAGAGTAACAAGATAATCTTCAATCTTCAGCCTATCCGGATATTTCGCCTTTTATCTTCGGTATCGAACAAGCGACGTAAAAATATTGCCGCCGCCCGTCACATACTTCCCGGGGCGGACCGCCCCCGCCCCCCGCTACGCAAGACCTTGGCGTCAAAGCATTTGTGAGATCAACTGACGTCCGGTATCTCAGCATCTAGTTATTGGCGTTTGTTGTAACACATGCAGATTTACCGCTGCTATTAAAACGGACCCGCCCAACCTTTGTCGTCAACAGTGTTACACGTTCCACCAAAACCAATAGGATATCGAACATAGGCATCAAACATGGACTGATTAGCTCGTTTAACATAGAAACGTTTACATGTAAACATATTCTGTAAGGATGCATGCGCTCTGCAACTTACGCGGGCTTACCGCAACGCTGCATGTTGTACGGAGTGCAATCGGTGTGCAGATGGGTGCCATCTTCGAGTTCCCAGTAGCTGCAGCGACGATAACTTTGAATTAAAATGAGGAGCAGAATAAATAAGAATCGAATGTGGGTGGAAACTGACAATTATGGTGGGACATGTGCTGGGAGTTGCTAGCCCACCCACTAACGATGGGACTTAACAATGCAAAACAAAAGTCAAGGTCACCCTCAGAGGTACTGCCGGCCTGTTAGACTTTTCATTGTCTCGGTACGTTTTAATTGGCATTCACCATGATTCGTTACTATGCATCACTTCTGGGCTTTATGGCGTCTCTATACGACATAAAATCAACAAAACATATGCGAATCTGGCGAAAAGGTTACTTCCACCAGCTTACTTTAATCGCCCTGGTTGACTTATAGTACAACAGCGCTGCAGACGACAAGGCATGCATGCGACAAAACACCTCTGGACCACAAGTAAGGCATAGAACTCCCGGGTCATTACAACGGTCAAGATCGAAAAGGGGTTACGATATCATTCAAGAGAATGTCCGGATAGTAAATACAGGGTGTCCCAAAATATGTATACACCCATACACATTGAATACACTTCGCCTTCACTAGACCTCAGATCAGTAGACAATTTACGGAGATATTTAAAATACGAAGTCTACGGAATAAAACATACAACAGATGTTGAGAGCAAGTATTGAACGTGATTGCACTCAAATACCATTAGAATTATTTCACGCAGTGTGCAAGGTCTGGACCAGAACGGATGTCAGTTTGAGAACAAGCGATGACAGTACAATAAAATGATGTACATGTTTTTACATGTTGAAAACTTATACAATTATAACAAATTTCTACTGTACAACTATTTAAAGTGTGTATACAGTTTTCGGGCGCCCTATAGACAAAGGTTTTTAGTAGAAAGTCAAGATTGATCTGTGCAAGGTAAGCTCGCAAGAAGTAGTTCACGATTGTTCGCAGCAGTACTCAGTCAAGACCAAGGCGCAACCTAGATATTAATGTACAGTAGTTGACAATTGCTAACTCACCCAAAATGGCAACTCTAAGAAAAAATGCCGAGGAACTGAGAAAATCAATCTTATCGGAGGTGGGAACCCATGAAGACGCATCGACCTAGTTTTAGTGAGCGACTTGTGGCGTGGCCGTAAGGCGAGTCCTCATGTTCACTTCGCTATCCACCGACGGAGCAGATGGAATAATGGCTCACCAGCCACATTGGAGTGCCCCGGGCTCCAGTGCAGCGTAAACGAACGTGCGAACCAACGCGTAACGCCAGGCCCACGCAAACAGAGGAGCTGCCTCCCCGTGACAGCGATAACCACACGAGCGGGTCTTTAGATCCGGAACGACAGACCGGACAGGGCCAAATGCGGAGGGGAAAGTATAGTATATGAGAGTAAGTAGTTGAATTAGAGGTTCACATGTGATGTTTGGAGTCGTAGAGTCAGAGGCCGGATGGTAGCTAATGTGGTTGAACCTATGAGGCAGTAGCACACCAAGTGAGATTGCGTACCTTAATGTCAGTGACTTAGAACAGCCGTGTTCGTTACAAGCGTTGACATTGTAACTAGTTCAATAATAGCATGTATGATAAACATAACTCATCGGGCTCAGTGGGGAGGTTAGTGTTATACACTTGTGTGAATGGATTACCAAAGGTAGTCTCTGTCAGAACCGTAGTTCACTTGGAAGTGGACCTCGCGTGTTGTTTCAGAAGTTGCACTGGAGTTCCAGATTATCTCTACCGTCCCTAGTCTGCTCAAAGCTTGCACTGCCACTGAACGCATCAGTAAATATGCCTTTCGTAAACTGATTGCTCATGGACGGTTGGCAGTTATGAGTTACATGATGCTTGGCACCCGTCCATACATTCACAAGGACACAAGCGTTGGTCTAACATATGTGGTGCGATATGCCTAACCTTCGCAAACGGCTTGGTTCTGACTAATAATCAAGTCTGCGGGGATCACGGACGTCCGCTTGAATTACTTACAAAGTGTAAGGAAACCCAAACGCCGCGTGTGAGCCGTGTCGTTCACGTAATGGCCAATACTCCGAGCACGCAACATCAAAACCAATTATCCGGCGATACAATGTAGATACTGTAGAAGCTTCCCAAATGTCCTATTCTCTGTTGCCTTCTTACCGCTCTCTGCCTCATGCTTGGGATTCCCTTTACCGTTTTCCTAACTCCTTCCCCTGGCCCAGCCGAGCTTTATTATCCGGCTCTCAATGAAGCTTTTGTTCCGTGCCAAATTAATTGAGTTTATTTGCACTTTAAGCACATAGATGACCTACATTCAACCATGCTTGCATTGACCTATATTTCCAAGTTCTGATCACACCTACTTGTCGATTCACTTGACTTTGCCTCAGCTTATCAGTTTGTGATGTTCCGTTTTAATTCGCTCGCCTTGCCATTCGGATACTGGCGAGCAAGACATTCCTCACATCGCATGAGACTTGACAATGTTACGAGATCATGTGAGTAGTATTCACATACATGAAACCACCTCATCCGTGAGGACAATTGTAAAGGTTACTTCAAGTGCAATTTCAACACTTGCAATACCATCACGTTGTGCGTGTGTAAGGCACTGACCAAACGCCTACGTCTCACGACAACCTCCCTTTCCGATTGATCATGTGTAAGCCTGTTAAAGCCACAGTACATTGAGCCGAGCTTATACTACGTGGACTTGAACCTCAGCTTGCTAGCTACCTTGGATACTTGTAGGTGTTTGATACGCCTGTGCCGAAAGCACCGATTGTTGAGGTATTGTACACTGTTGTTTTTAATTCTTTGTAGTAGTACGGTATACTAGTTCCGGAGTGGTTTTGTTGAAACCAAGTTTTGTTGAACCACGTTCATTCAAGACTTCCAGGCGAATTGTCGCGTACAAATATCATGCATTAAATCATCAATCTCTGTCTCGACCTTTTGATGTCAGGCATTGTGCTGCCTCATTCAAGCAAAGGCAAGAATGTTCTTTAAGCGCCTAAGGCGGATGACTATTCAGCTTTAACACACACGCTTCGTTATGTGTCGTAAAATAAATGCAATTCAAAGGTGTGTATTCGTAAATATAAAACAACACCATCATAAGGTACGCTGGTTGGTTAATTTCTGGGCGACTTTGTTAAGGTCTAGCAAAAATTAGCGCTTGGAACGGATAACTGACGGACGGTAACCTCGTGTTCGCGCATATATGGAGTTGTACTTCTGACAACTTAATTTCGACCCAACTGCTGAAAAGTCACCGTTTAGTATCCTGTATTATGCCCACTTTTATTGTGTTGCAAGAAGAAGCGTAAGCGGTACGCTTAAAGCGAACAAGTGCTTCGATATATCGGGCTTGTTACAAAGACCTACGGAGAAGAGTAGTTCGGTTGGGATATATAGAGTAACAACTAATTGTAAATGATAATGTTACGTTTGTCATGTGGTCAAGTGACTAAATGCACGTGACGCCACTGAATAGGGTCCATTCCATCTCTGTTAGTGGATGGCCGTGGTAGTTGTACTGCTTAAACATGCTTCTTCTGAGTGCATGAATTGGGTTTTGTCAACCTAATTCATATCGCTTCAGCGGTAGCAAGCTGGCGTGCCCCTGACCGATGGTACAACTACGATGGCACTCGATACTGGATCTCAAATGACTTGCGCTTATCAATCCGATGACCAGTGCAGATCGGAGGTTTAGTTATTGCACTCAACTTAGTTTTGTCCTGCTAATTGACCATCGACTTCGGTCAAATTATCTTGTTTCGCTTTTCCAAGTGCCTGGTCGTACGCCCAACGTACCTAGTAAGACAGGAGTAGATGAACCGGTAGATTACCATTAATTAGCGTCGAGCAAGCATCTTATCTTTGAATCTAGGAACCACCAGCGAAGGGCGTGTAAAAACGACGCTAAGTTGAGCTTCGTTAAAGATCTTTCGGCACGTCTGTATCAGTCGCCGTGTGTATATCACAGCCGGAATGTCACCATTAAAGGGAAGCTGGTGAAATAGCTGTTTCCTCTCTACCATTTGTGTCGGCATGTATCGCTGAAGCCAGCCTGTTGCAAAGACTAAAATGTGGACAAATTTATGTGGAGAAAAGTCAGCTTTGGCACACCGCTGCATCGAAACAAGTGTTTTAACGAACAGGAGATTAATCTGAAGTGTTTACACAGTACACCAGAAAAATCATTGGTGACTACTACATCCAGTGTGAAAGGGCACAAGTAGTGACCAAATGACTTGTGGGCGTGAAAGCTGATTGCCAACGCGAGCATGTTCGCCACTAAGCCTGTTTGGCACAGACCGCATGAGCGTGTTGACACGGCCCAGCCGAAAGCTGATGAACTCGTGCACCGGACATCATGCGTGTTGCCAAGGTGGGTTCGGAAGCTGATGGAATCGGGCGTCAGACATCATGTACGTTGCCATGCCAAGGGTAGGCGGATGAAGACTGGCGTGGCCGAGCAAGACGCTGAACTGGCCAGACGGAGCGTACAGTCAAGTGTGGAGCGTGGGCGTACGGGGAAGACAGGTAGCCAAATTCGCCAGGCCGTGTTTAGAGGATTGGTGGGACCAACCTATAAATATGAGCATTCTCGGTTCTAATACAAATCTGGTCGGCTGCGCCTTTTTCTGTTTCCTTCCTATCGGGTTGGCCAAAGCGTCAAGCAGAGCAGGCGTAAGGGCGCAGATTTAGCTGCGGGCGTGAGCCAAACGGTCGATTGCGGGTACAAAGTTTTAAACACAAAATAAAGCATTAAATCACGGGAGACAGATGAAGCCAGCAGATTTGAGGCGTAGGACCATAACCCCCTGACTTTTGTGAACGTTTTGCTCAAATGAGATGAGGAGGTGATCATACCTAGGCTGACTCCCAGGTGCTTCCGTTATGTAAAGGTGTTACAGCCTTTGCCATTGACTTTCGATTTCACGCACTGCTAGGGAAGTTACGGGTATTGATCCCCTGGGCGCAATGAAAAGATGGCATCATTGCATTTTGCTATGTTAAGCGATGACCAGAACGGGGAACCGTTAAGAGTACAT